TTGTTGTCAATAGTTGCAACATTTGTTAGAGGTTTATGTTTTAGTATTTGAAGATAATAAAAATCATTCATCAATCTAGCTTCTCCAATCATCTTCATTAAGGCAATATCCTAAATTTAACAGTGAAAAATTATTTTAGCATATTTAATTAAAATACTGGTATAAGATTGAATATGAATTATGGTGTGTATTGAACATTATAAATCAAGAAAGAATAAAAATATATATATATTTTTCTTGTGCGATTTGCAATGACAAGCAAACCATTTGATAATAAAGTGAAAAATGTTGCAAGTCACATGTAAGAAATCAACATCTAATATCCAAATATTTGCAGCATGCTTACCTTCTTTAATTGGCCTAGAAAAGGATTCACCAATGAAGCTACTAATCTTATGTGTGAAAGCAAATTTAAAATCTTGCAGCACTCTCAAGATTTGTTGTATTTGATCTTGTGTAAATGATGTTTTCTTGATTTTTCTCACGTTGATTTGTTTGTGTAATTTCTTCATCTTTGTTTTCAATGTTGACAGAAACATTACTGGAAACAAGATTGATGGTGACATGTTTATTCTTATACTTGTGCCATGGAGGAAAGCCATGCTTTGAGCAACTTTCATCTATTGTGTGGTTCATTTTATGGTAATAATCATGCTTTTTTTCCTTAATTGGGATTACATTCCCTTTCCTCTTTATTGTGATTTTCAGCCATTGTTGCTAGTTTTTCCTTATTGTTTCCCATTGTTTGGTTCTTGACAACGTTGATAAAAAAGTTTTTTTTTTCAACAAGATTACCTATAGTCAGTTGTCTTGCTGGAGAACAAGAGAAAAAACACAATTGATATTTTGCAATGATTGTGTAAGTAAAATCTAGGTTTTGACACATTAGTGTATATATCATCAAGTTCAAGAAGCATATCACATGTTTTAATTCCCAACTATATTTTATTTCATAGATGCACGTTGGCCTTAAAGAGTCCCGCTCCTTCCATAAAATATTTAAATTTGTGAAATGCTCTAAAATGATTGTTTTTTCTTATTGAATATAATGATTTCTTGTAGTAAATAAAAGATTCTAAAGTGATCCCCTTTAACAATTTTTTTTTTTAAATTGTCCCAAAGACCCCTCGCATTGTCAATGTAAATGACACTTTGTGCTCAGTAGACATGATTCATGTGATTTAAGAGATTATCATCACATTACACCTCTAAGTGTCATAAAGAAATGTATTTTGATCAAATTGAACAATACTTCTATCTATGAATTTACTTGTTCTTGGAGAGCACAACACACTTCATGGTTATGCTCCATGAATGATAATTGATAATTGGTGTCATTCAGTTGTGGACTAATAAGAATCATCTCAAGGTTTTTTCTCTAATGAAAATAGTATGCATTGACAGGATTAAGAGAATTTTCATAATGTTGTTTGCTTCATTGTTGGTGATAACTTCCATGATCAAGATTTTTTAAAAATGGAATCAAGAAGAAAAAGATGAACGATAATTGGAAAAAGAATGAAGATATAATATATAGCAGAAATAAAATAAGAATTAACCTATTTTATACTATATTAGAGAATGATCATGTTGCAATTTAAACGAATGATAAAAGTATGAAAAACAAGTAAAGGGAGTAAAAAAAAAAGAGGGGTAAAAGGGAGCAAAGGAGAATATATATATATATATATATATATATATATATATATATATATATATATATATATATATATATATATATATATATATATATATATAAAAGGATAGAAAGAAGATTAATAAAAGAAAATAATTTCTTGAAGTAAATTGTGTATATAAGGATAGAAATTAGATTTCAATGAATATGGTGTAAAAGTGATATTCATATAATAATGAGTAACATAAATTTATTTAAAAATAATTATTTAAATTTGTATACTTTTGAATATCAAAATATTTTCATAAATTATAAAAAAAATCAAATATCCTTAAAACAAATTTAATTTCCTAAATAAATATCATAATACTCATTTATCCTTTTGAAATTTTTTATTGAATATTATTAAATTTTTTCATATTTTTTTTAAACAATATTTTGAAATCCTAGAAATTATTATTTCATACTGGAATTTATAATAGTATTTTTCAAACTTAAATTCAAATACAGTCGTATTTGTTCATGCATAATTCGTATAGTCTTTTACTCTATAGACACTATTTGTTTTCCAATTTCCCCATTTTCAACTGAGTGTTTTCAAAAGAAAATTTTTAATTAGAAAACCAATCCATCCAATCATAGCTTGTGATATACGATGAAATAGATTACTTTATAATAATTATTTTTAAAATCATATTTAATACATTTAGTTTGCTAACATGGTAAAAAAAAATTATTCGGTTTGAAAATTTTGAATTTTTCAAAATATCTGATACCATGACCATCCAAACGATTAAAAAGTAGTTAGAAAGTTCAGATACGCATATCGCAATAGGGTCAGACCCAGTCCATTATTGAAAAAATTAATAATATTAATATTATTAAAATTTTAAATTCAAAATTTTTACTATATAATTACTCTAGAATTTTGAATAAATACATCAACATATATGTTTATTATTAAATTATAAATATATTTAACAACTTTTAGTAATGTTTATTTATTTAAATTAATTTATAAAATAAATAGATTTGATATTTTTAGACACATAATTAACTCAAAATTATAAAAATGTTATTTATTTATATATTACAATATCATATTTTTAATTATGTTTTAATATATCTTGTTATTTTAATGAAGATCTTTCATCGTATTTTTTGTCTTTCATAAGAGATTTTTATGTTTTAAGTTCATTTTGAAAAATGTTACATATTCAATTCAATTTTATAAAATTGGATTTGTACGAAGAAAATTATATTTATTTGTATATTAAATAATGCTAATGTATTTCTAAAATAGATTTCATCTTTTTGTTAAAAGATAAATTTTTTTCGGTTAAATGCATAAAAAAATAAAAATTTATTTATTTTATTACTTAAACACGTATTTTATTTTGAAAAATAAGCACAAACTATATAAATGAAGCAGATTAATTAATATTACATTAAAAACTTAAATAAACTTATTTTTAAAAAAAATTGGAATATAATTATTATGAGACTGAAAAAGAAAATATGAATTTGAATAGTGTTGAGAATGTTAATAAACTTGGGTGAACAATCCTCTTCCAAGGAGTCTTTCAGATCCAGATTTTTAATATTAATAAATAAATCATTTAAAAAAAATCACTTTCATATTTTATATTTGTTTATTTTAATTTAAAAATCATTATGAAGATTGAAATTATTTATAAATATTTTATTTTATTTAAATTTTAGAATTATATTAAAATTTTAAAAGACAAAATTAGTTATTCTACTTGATAAGATTAGTAGTATGAATAATGATTTTGTTTTGAAATGCAGCAGAAGATAAATTATGGGCCCTCACTCACAAGCCATAAACTGTGAACTGTACCAAGTTTGCACATGAATCGCTGCAAATTTCTAGCCGTTGCTCTGTTTTCATCTGACCATGTTTACTTCTCAAACAAACCATTTCTAGAATGCTCAATTCACAATGTTATAGTTATTTGTGCCACCAAAATGTAATTTTTTATTCTCGTGTTTATTTTTATTTTTCATTGCTTAATTGAAGTGTTTGAATTTGAAATATATCCATTAAAAGGAATTTAAAATGATTTATGAAATAAACTAGATTTGACTCTTCTTCACCAAGTAGTACATCTATGAAATATTGTTGTGATTATAGACTAAAAAATGAACATTTGAGATCATGACAAAATACATGTTCATGTTTATCAAAGCATGAATTGTAAAATGTTGATCACGATTTTTCAATCAGTATAATTGCACTGTTACGACTCTTTTTTCTAGCCCAAAAGTAAAGGGTTTTTGATTGTGATAGTTTAATTCAGTGTACTTGTTATACATTATTTTCATTCTTTAAAGCAATAGAAATGTTGGTTGAATCTCATAAAGTTCATCCAGTTTTGCTGTGTCTTAACACAAAATTGACACTGCTTCACTCTACACCTTACCCTCTTCAAAGAATACCAAAACATCATCAATAAGGGTACAGCCATTGAAGACATTCTTCCTTTTCCTCACAAACTATTCAAATTCTGCATTCATTCATTTTCATTGCATATGATTCTGATGCACGTGCAGCGTTCCTATTGCCATGCTAAAACCATAGACAACTATATCAGCACCCTTAACATGTAGATCTTATTTTTGGTATCATATTTATGGTTGAGGTCCCCACAGCATGCCAGCTATTAGCTTAGGTGTTAGAATATCACAAAGAGCAATGTTCCAAACTCATACATTTAAATTTCCCCAAACTTAATAGCACTTTGGGAAATTTCAAACCTTTCTATATACTTTACTGCTCAAACAAAGAAACTAATGCAAATTTCCATTTCGTTGCTAACTCTATCCTTCTACCTCCCCATCTCACACTCAACTAGTGTTTCTATTTTCATCTTTTCTCACATTTTAGCTTTCTTTTTTTGAAAGAAAAGAAGACACAGCTGGCATGAGTTTTTATTTTATTTTTTCAAAGCCTAATGTAGAACTGAAAATATATCTCTGAACACTCAGATCATCTCAGCAAATAATTTTTCATACACACAAATCTCAAAAATCTAACTTGTATATTTGAAGACAAAGTTATCTATCAACTGCTTTTTCTTGTTGTAAAAAATGATGATAATAATCTAAACCCAACACTTCATGTACATTATTCGAACACGAGTTGAGATTATTCAGAAACATGTGCTATCATTCAGAGAGGTACAATATATCCTTTTATCTCAGTTATCAATATTTTATTGAAGTAGAACAAAGCTATTAGTCCCAAACCTCATTTTGGGTGGACAAGTTCTCTCTCTATATCTCCCTCCCTGTTAGAAGCAGATCCTCTAACCACTAGTTCTCTGTGACCATTATCTAAAAGATGAAACGCATGGATATCTTCTGTGCTTCCCAAGCCTCAACAGCCATATGTCTCAGCATGGATCAAGCCTCATGCTCCTCTTCAAACACCATTCTACTCGGAGGCCGAGCTATTGACCGCCACAACCCCATTATCAATGACTCAAGAAGGAGCACTTCCAAATCTCTCACTGCCCCTTGTTCCTCCTCTCAGTCACCCATCAACCCAAAGCCTTACCATGAGCTCCGCAAGGCCAAGAAAAACTCTACTGCCAAAAATGCAACCAAGGGTCATGATAATCACAAGAAGAAAAACACAGCAGAAAACATCGCTGAACATGTCACCTACACTTCTAAACCAATTGATGGCATTGTGCGTAGGAGTTTGATTAAGCCACCTTCTGATTTAATCACTCCTCATGGCTCAGCTAGATCTTTGCTCAGTGACTCGGTCTTATTGGATGCTTCATCACATTATGATCCAGTTTTGGCCTTATCTACTACGGTTAATAGCAAAACTTCTCAAGTTGTTCTTCAAGATGAAACCATCCCTGTTTCTAAACATTCCAGCTCTTCTCATTCAAAATCTGGTTCCGAAGACCAGGTTAGTTTTCTCTCTCTGCCTTAGGACTGTGCAGACCACCCCCCCCCCCCTCTCACACTTCTAGCAGACATTTGTGTATCAGATGGATATTTGGGCAAAAAAATAATAATTTATGTTATGGTATGCCTCATGTGAAATTAAAAACTTGAAACATGCTCAAGTAAACTGAATGAGTTTCCAAAACTATTATTAAGCAACTAACAAGTTCAGAAACTTGTTTGTGAAATAATTAGCAGGACTAAATTCTGCAGTAAATTGAATTGGAGGAAACTGTGCAATCTAGGTTCAATATTTCAAGAACTGATTTGAGTAAATTTTTCTTAGCAGGTTGTTGAATTGAGGGTATCTCTGCATTGCAAAGGCTGTGAAGGGAAAGTGAGGAAACACCTTTCCAGAATGCAAGGTGAGTAACCTTTCCTCTAGAATGTAAAGTGAAACTTTTTTACATTTTCACTTTCAAAGCCATCTCCTTTATTGGGGATCTTAAAATTGCTGATTCTATGAGCAGGAGTTACTTCCTTCAACATAGATTTTGCGGCAAAGAAGGTGACAGTGGTTGGGGATGTGACTCCATTGAGTGTCTTGGCTAGCATATCAAAGGTGAAAAATGCACAATTCTGGCCAGCAAGTGCATCAGCAGGAGGATCTGGTACTGTTGAAACAAAGAAAATAAATTTATCCAATTAAGAGGAAACTATAATATTCATATTCATTCATGTATGCTTCACTCTGCTGCATTTAATTATTGTAAATGCATATGCTAGCAAGAATAGTTGTGCCTTAAGAAGTAGTAAAAAGAAGGTAGAATTTTGGAGAAAATTTATGAAATTGGCATTTTCTTAAGTATAAATTTAAGATTCTTTAAATTTTTTAACTTATTATAAAATATAAATTTGAAGTGAGTTGAGAAGTTCACATGTCAAGTAGAATTCATGGGGTTCACATGTCAGTATATGTGTTTCTATTTTTGAGAAATATTAGCTATTTCTATTTTTTTATGCACATTTTCATTCCTTACTCCAATATTTCTCTGGCTATATAATTGACTTTTCAAAACTTTCTTTTAAATGTGTTAATGAAAGATTATGCATTTATTTTAAGGGGTCACAACAGGATGAAAGTAAGTAATTATTTAGTAAAAGAGTTTCTTTTGAAATGATCAATGAATATTTTTATTATTATATTAAAAAAAAAATTAGAAAGTTAATCATAAGAAGATATTTGATTGAAAGTTAATATCCCTAGACTAGATATGTACTCAAGAACAACCTAATTTGAGGAGACCATACATGGCTTATGTGATTACTATCATGTTTCTCTAGATTCATTCAAGAGTGACTAAGATTGATCCTGAACATTCTTAGTAATGAATCCAGAGAGAAGAAATGTTTAGTATTTTGGTTTGTTTTCAACATATCTTACTTTTCATTGTTTTTTTTATTATTATTTATTTTAGTCATTTTATACAATTCATTAATGTGATAAACCCACAAGTATCATAGTCAAGATAAAAATATATAACTAATTATTTCGTTTAAAAATATATTATCTTAATAATTTAATATAATATTATTAAGATCAATATTTACATCATAATACTATATTTTAGAGATGTCTCGATGAATTTGAAAATGAGACATATGAAAATAATTTTTAACCTGGATTTCTAAATATCCGTGAGTATAACAGAATATTAACTATTCTTCCTTTTAACACATTTTTATCTCTTTTATATATATATATATATATATATATATATATATATATATATATATATATATCAATTATTTTGTTTCATTTTAAAGAATTATTTTTAATCATGGTTTCTATTTGTTAATCTTTATGAAAATGGTCTGTAAATTAAGAGTTTTTTTTTAATGGAGGGTCACGAGAGTTGTGTTTTTCGAGGTGTAATGGAGAGTTGTGTTAAGTATATAAAAAACGGAAAAAAATTGTTGAGAATCCAAACATTAATATACAATTCATTATATTATTATAATACAAAATTTAGTATTATATTAATATTTTAGATTGTTGAATGATCTTATAAAAAATACTGAAATATTACTGTTCTGTAAAAAAATAAGAATTGATGGTAAGGTTTTTTAGTTTTTTTACCAATATTTTTATTGTAATGATTTACAAAACCTTATAATATATCATTTAAATAAATTTAAATACATATCCCAATTTAATATGTAAGAATTTAAAATCACTTCTATAAAAAAAAATCATTAAAATAAAACCGTCTAATTAAATACTTCTTCCAAGGAGTAGGGTTGTGGTTTATATTTGTTTTTCTTTAATCCAAATTTCAGAAAAGTCATTTGAATTTGAATCAAGCTTAATTTTATTCGATGATAGTGTAATATCGAAAAAAATATTTATCGAATCGAATAGAATCTTTGGGTTAAGGTTTAGATTCTAATATTATGTTAAGAGTAGAGAGACATATAATAAAATCTTGTAGGAAAATAACTATATAAAAAAATAAAATTAAGTTCATATATTTAATTATTTTTAACAAATTTTAGATAAATATTTATACTTTGATAATAATTTTTAATTAATAAAGAAAAAAATGTTATTTGACTACGTATTCGATAATTTTTAAATAAAATATATATAAATATTTTATTTATTTATTTATTTATTATTATTATTGTATTGATGAAATAATTATTAAATTATTCTTATACTAACATTTTTAATAAAAAATTATGTTGATAATACTTATTTTTTATAAAACAATATGTGTATGTTTCGTGGTTGCGAAATTTTGGGTGTGGAAAATGTAATTTAAAAAAAATGTTTAACAATTTGGGATTAATAGTGTTGTTTGTTATCCCAAATTCAAAACAATTTTTATCAATTGAAAAAATGTTTTTTTTTTTACTTTATTTTGTATGTTTGCTAAATTTAGTGTGTCACTCCTATCATTTTTGTCAAAATTTTCAATCTGATTAGACTTTTCATCCTTTCAATCATTTTATCTAGATTTATGTTTTAAGGTTCCTAAATTATGTTCCTTTATTTCTTTTACTTTTTTTAGTTTTATTATATTTTTTTCATAAAAAAATTGATCTTGGGATAAACATAATAATATCTCAAAATTTATCATATAATTTTTTTAAAATATAATATAATTAAATTATAGTAATTTAAATATATTTTAATAAAAAATTAATTTATTAAAATATATTATTATTGTTAAGATATTATTAAAAATAAATAAATAAAAATTTGTATAAAAATATTATTATTATTATTATTATTATTTAAATCATTAAAAAATAATATTAATTATTAAAAAATCTTATAGATAAAGATTGATTTTATTTATTTTAATCTCATTCTATTTAAATTTTTATATTTATTCATTTTTAGGTCTAATTTTATATTTATTTACTTTTAATTAGATTTAAATATTAAAAATTTAAATGGATAATAAGTAATTAATCTTTGATATTTATTTTTATTATTCCTTCAAAAATTAATTTAAATCTTTCTCGATATAAAACAACCTAAATATGTTGATAATAATATTATTTTACATTACATATTTTTATTCTTATTTTATCTCTTATGATATAACTATAAAAATGTGATGTATGTTTTTTTTATATATATATAATAATAATATTATTGTGCAAAAACTACTATGAAAAACTTCATAGTGAAGTTTTCTCTGTACGCCAATTTTCTATATATATATGAAGGGGGGAGAAATTGTTACAGCAAGAAATTCTTCCTCTCATATCACGCGTTCTTCATCCTTATTCTTTTTTCATCTAAATTTTAAGCAAATGATAATCTACTCGTGTAAGATTTGGTGAAACGGGAGAGAGTTTGAATTAAGTGGGAAAACTTCCGTAGAAATACAACACAAGGTAAGAGGAAGTTTAATTCATTCAATATATTAGACTAAATTGTTGGGTAATCTGTGAATAAAGAATAGGAGTAGAAATCTGAATTATTTGATGAATGTTTTTGAAGATTTCTTAATGTTTTAAAAGTTTGAAATTTTATTGAAATTAAGGATGAATTATATGGTAAAATTGTTGTTTTTGAGTTAAAATGGACATATCTCATGTTTAATTTGGATTTGAAACTAGTTTGGTTGCTTAAAACTGAAAAATTTGAAATATGAAAAATTTGATATGGTTACTGGACACGAGGTTGAAAAAAGGGGTAAGAGAAGAATTTTTGAAAAAAATCAAGGGTAAAATAGTCATTTTACATCCTAGGGATATAAATGGAATTTTTGAAAATGTTCAAGGGTAAAATAGTCATTTTTGGGACATGAAAGGAATAATAAAAAATGTCCAATGGTGAAATAGTCATTTTTGGGACATAGAAGGAATAATAGAAAATGTCCAACCGTACAATAATAATTTAGGGACGTACATGGAATTTTAAGAAAAGATTAAGAGCAAAATAGTAATTTAATGATTTCGGGATGAAAAAGGAATAATAGAAAATGTTTAAAGATATAATTGGAATTTTAGAAATAAAGTAAATGTATGTTAAGAAAAATAATTAAAATATAGAATGAAATTAGAAATTTTAAAGACTCAGCAGTGTGTTGTGATGTGTGTGGGTCAGACTGAGCCTGAGGGATGATGCCCAGAATCAGTCATGAGATGTTATGTATTGGCTAGACTGAGCCGGAGGGTTGGTGCCCAAAATCAGTCAAGTACTATTATTTATTGACCCGAATGAGTTATGAGGACAGGTGGTCCAAAACTCGGCAGATGTGAATGACAGTTGTTGTGTTTAAATGGTACCCGGGGTGGTACAAAGTATATTAGTATACTAACTATGTCGGAGGATTCGGATGAGGTCCCAAACTTCACTGATTGGTCGGGTCAGGTAGACTACAAGATCAGGTGGTGAGAAGTCGACGGGGGATGACTGGTAGCACGCTCGGAGGGGTACTCCAGAATAAGTGATGAAGGGCGCCAGTAATCCCACTCTGTGTGGAGGATGGTCAGGATGATACTGCGAGTGTCGACCACAATGTGCCCACAGATGATAGCCTCTAAGTTCAGGCATAGTTAGGGTATACTTTCGGAAGGCATCTTAGTGTATTGATGATTTGTAATTGATGATAATATGTAATTATTACTTCTATATTTGTTTTATTATATCAAATTATTTAATACTTACCCATATTTTTTCATGTGGTTGGGACTGTAATGATCACTTTTATGTGGGAGTAGATCAGGAGTTGAGAGGTGGAGATGCGACTAATAGGCTGCAGGGATAGTTCTGTGGGAGCTACTTTTGCATGTATCTATATAAATAAATTATGTTACTATGTTTTTAGGTTCCGTCAATGAGCCGGGATTTCAGTCTATATTATAATTATAGTAATATAATGTAATATAGATGTTGTTTACTTGTTTACTATTTTGCGAAGACATCATTATAAGTAGCAATTTCTAGAGTGGTTACAAAAAATATCAATTTTTGAAAATAAAATAACAATATTATTATTATAAATTAATCATTTTTAAATGAAAAATATTTATCTACTAGTTATTTATAATATAAAAAAATTTATAAATTTCATATTTACTTAATAAATAACATTTTGTATAGATAATCATATTAATATTAATATTATTTATCGAGTGAAGATATTATAAAATATATTTTATTCATATACTTAATTTTATTATTTA